GGTTCACAGCCCGATTCATAACCACTACGCTACCAGAGCACTATAACTGACAATATTCTGGTGCACTTCATCATGTCTCAGTATTCAAAAATCTGGTGTTGACAGTGTTCCACTGCTATTCATAAGGTTTTCAGTGACTGAATGTTTGGAAGTGTCTGTCTCTCCTGCTTCCTAGTGTGTCTTCTCCTGGAAGCTCAGCTGAAACCTGTCCACCATAGGTGATCCTGATGGTATTTTAAATACCTGTGGCATAGTTCCAGAATCACCACAACACAGTATGACAAACTGACAGATGAGTGGTAGATTCCAGCCGTAGTGGTAGATTCCAGCCATAGCATTATCATAACCTTAAGCAAGGCACATTATTATATCCTGTCTATCACTTTCTAGATTTTTAAGAATGTCAGAACTGACTGAGGACAGCAGTTTTTTCTCCTTTACTAAGAAATATCCTACAAAGACTTATTTCACTAAACATTCCTATTATTGAATTTTACATATCTGATCCCTTCAGACATCTGGTCAGTATATAATGTCAGAAATGCTGTCCAAGTAATTCTCAGACTTTATTTCCATGATAAACCTCTCCTTCATATGATTTTCCAAGGCACTTATCAATTTATTCTGAGTTTTGGGTACAAAATAAAAGACTGATACTTCAAGTTTACATGTGCCTCATTTTCATCTCATTAGGTGCTCTTTTTCAGCACTTCATTAAATTTTTAGAGCAACTGAAACATCTCAAAAAAGTTTCCTTTTCCTTTATTCACCAAGGGTGTCTCTTCTTTGTGGTCATGGAATGCCAGATTCTGCTTGGCAAGAAACAATGTGATATCAAGCAATCAGTGCAAGATGTCCGTTTACTTTTGCTTCTCCATTTCCATCAAAGCAACAGTTTCAGTTCTGTGTAGCATCTGTACTGCTGCCAAAATTTTCCATTTTTCAAGGCAACATGGGTGCTCTTCATATGTCTCATGGTTCTATACTTTCAGGCTCCATTTCTACCACTTTTGAAACCTAGTCATAAATTTGGAAGGCGTATCTGTAGCACTAACAGTGAACAGTAGTAGCAAAAACTGAGTAAGTTCTCACTAATGAGTAAACCATCCATGGTCACAGAATTTTCTCAACATTTGACATCACCTTGTAAAAGCACTCTTTAAAAGCTGACATGCATCTTTCTTTGCTATTGCATCTTGCCTTGCTGCAATACCAAAAGATCCATCTTTGTTTTAGAAAGAAGAATTTCCCCTTTTAATGGTTTCAACCTGAAAATGATCTGGAACTGGTATCTTCTAGAAAGACATAGCACCAAAAATTTACCCATCTCTCTCCTGACTGTCACTCATCTCATTTACAGTATCACTCATTTGAAGCAGTGCTTGCTTCTGCTTCAAATCATGCCTTTTCCACTTTTGGTTGTCTGCAGAATACATGCTAGCATCAGAAGAATCACCTTTAACAACTGGAGACTAATGAGCAGTTATTGAGATAGATTCACAAATATGACTTACCACAATATTATAACTCAAACAACAGAAACTTTGACAAAATCAGTGACTATAAAAATACTAGCAGCAAGAAAACAATAGGCTGTGGTTGTAGTACGTATAAATGAAACCAAGTGATTTGAAACATTGTAATTGGACAATATAGACAGCTCTGACTGCAGCACATTTAAAGTTTCAAAAGGAAATTTATATAAAGTTTTATTTGGCCTTGTAGGTATATTGATACATGCCAGCTGGGCTTATGAAAAATATTCTTACTGTTCTAATTAAATACATGAATATTTTTATAAAAATTATAAATTTCTGCTGAAACACCACACAAAAATTTTATACACGGTTGTTTTATGTGACCCTGTTTGACAGTTGTCACCCCATGCAGTCTGTCCCCTGCCACCCCCATGCTCACAATGACACCACCAGGCGAAGCTAGCATACCCAGACTAGTTAGTTCTGCTGGAGGTTGGGTGTCAGCTGAGCTCACAAGCCAAAGTAAATAAATACAGGAGGGCGGCACAGGATGGATAGACCAATGAAAGGGGTATTTCCCAGTTAAACATGAAGGCTGCTTTTTCTTTTAAGCTGTTTTTAAAACCCTGCTAATTTAAAAATATATATTCTTGAAAAGAAGATTTTCCTTCCAAGAGTGGCTGTCTCATTTTTTTCCCCTTAGATTTGTTTTGTTATATTCACAGTATTAGGTAGGTTTTATTTTTCCATTGCTTATAAGAAAGTTTAACATTTGATATTTCATTAGTAAGACAGTTATAAAACACATGGTGCTAAAGGAAATTAATACTTCATTATATGTTAGATGAGTAATGGAATGGTTTTAATCATAAGTCAGTTTAGCATTTGAGACACATTCAAAATTATTTCCTTTTTACAGAATAATTTCATCGTGAGTAGAAATACTTCAGGTTTATTCAACATAATCTAAAAGAGGGTGATATTTCAATGTGGAAAATAACCTAGACTTAGAACCAGAAGTTCCAAGTTCTAGTTTTATTAACTATGGAATTTTGAGTAAGGTCTCTGACACTTCCTCTATAAAATGCAAGTGCTGAACGAGATCAGTCAAATGTTATGGCCTTTTGTCTGGTGTAATAAACATACACAGAGAGTATAGCAGTGGTAAAGAAACATACATGGTTTCAACAGACTCAGATTATAAACTGATTGCTGACACTAACTTTGTTTGTGACACTGGGCATTTGCCCTCTTCTGTATCCTCATATGTTATAAAAAGAAAATGAAACAGGTGGCATCTCAGGACATTTTTAAATTTAAAAAATTATAATTAAAAAAATGCCTGTGCCACATGTACTGACTGACATTTGAATATAAAACTTGATGTTTTACTCCATTCTTGTTAAGTGCCATCAAGCCAGTTCTGACGCACAGCTACCCTGTCAGGGTTTCCTACACTTTTTCAATCTTTATGGGAGCAGAAAACCTCATCCTTCTCCCACAGAGTGGCTGGTGGGCTTGAACCTCCAACCTTGTAGTTTAAAGTCCAGTGCTTATTTTATGGAGCCACCACCAGAAAGAAATATACGTATTTGTAGAGTCCCCAGTATGTTGGAACATATTCAACCCTGAGTTTTAGTTCTTCAAAGCAGAAAGGTGGTCTCAAGAGCTGAAGGAACCTAAAACCTCCTTGTTTAACCCTTCCTTCTAAGAACCTAAAGTCAAGCTATGAAATCCAGCATAAATATTATTACTAAACTTTGTCCTTGTGCTCTCCATAGGCATGAAACAAAGACAACTGCTATGAGTTGAACTGTGTCCCTCCCAAATCCTAACCTCTATGTCTGTGGTTACAATAGTATTTGGGAATGGGTTGGTTTTGTTATGTTCATTAAACTGGATTAGTGTGGGGTCTTCTTGAGTTAATCTCTTTTGATATCTAAAAGAGATAAAACAAGCCAGCAGAGATGGGAGTGGATTTAAATTATGCCAGATGAAGATCACCAATGGACCAAGAGATAAGGCCCTTCCCCAGAAGCAAACAGAGAAAAAGCCTTCTCCTAGAGCTGGTGCCCTGAATTCTTCTAGCCCTCCTAAACTGAGGAAATAAATATCTGTGTTAAAGCCACCCACTTGTATTTCTGTTACAGCAATACTAGATAAATAAGACAACAACTATGCTCAAATCTGGACTTTATCTACTATTTATAAATACACTGTTTAGGTCAACAAGTGACTTTTTAAAAGGTCAAAAAGTCCATTCATTAAAGAAATGTACTTTCACAAATTTTTACATGAAACTACACTTAGTCCAAAAATACTTCTATGTTTACAGTTTCTGGATTTTTAGTAAAATCTCCTAACTCTTCAAGTAAAGTACCTCCACTTCAAAAGGAAGTCAGAGCCACAGTCACGGGTGGTTTACAGAATATTTTCTGGTAGCCTTCGCTTCATTTCAATAGTCTGCCATGATTGGCTGTTGACGTCTACAAATAAGGAAGTCTTCAAGCCAGGGGATTTCTCAGTGGAAGTTCCCAGTTCAACACAAGGGAGAGCTCAGGACAGTTTGTTGGGCAGCATTGCTAGGGCCTGTGGATACAGATTTACTTCCAGACTGTGTATCTGCCTAGATCTTTAAAGAGGAATAAATAATCTGTGAAGGAAGACTTGTAACCTGGAGAAGAGGTAATCAAAACTTCAGTAGTTCCTACCAATTCTCAACTTAGCAAAGTCGCCTGGATGCCTTGAATTGAAGTGTTGCAAATTTGTTCTACTCTTGCTTTTGCTGTGTGAGTAATTTATGACATGATTCAATAATGCCTTCGTATTCATTGTCATAGTTGGAAAATCAGCTTTAATAATGGGGTGCCTGGCCAGAACCCAAGAAAATAATTAAATACTGTGATCTTTTTAACTTTCATCCAACTTTCAAGATAGAAGTTATGTCTCTCTTTGAAGTGATCTTTTTTTAGTTCCTAACTGGAATGAAAGTCTTCTCCAACAATTAGTTTATTATAAAATAACGTAAGACTAAGGATGTGTATTTGGCCTATGTTTCATAAAGTTTATTAGATTGCTCTTTTCTTGCTGAAAAGTAAATTAATTCTATATTGTATTCAAACTTTTTTGTTTATATTTGTAAGAAATTAATTCCACCTTGATCCAGTCTGTCCATGCTAAATTCAGGTTAAGTGTTTTTCCATCTCATAAAAAAAAAAACAAAACACATGCTAATCAATGTTTCTTTACATTGAGGTGTTAATCTCATAAGCAACTCTGCATCTCCAATTTTAGGACATTTAAACTTAGTTTAAATTACAGTAACCCAGTCTTATTGTTGATAATTGGCTCTTTTAGTTCCACAAGCAAAATTGAATATGTATTTTTTAAAATACCATGTTAGCATGGTTCTTAAGAAAAATCCTGGGTTACAGTGAGCTTGCACCACCAGCCTCACAGTTCAAACTGACTTTGCAGTCCGGCCCATTAATCCACCAGGACCACTGGCTTGAGTGCCTCCTGGGCCAGGGTTTAAACATAAATCCACATACATTCCTTTCTCATGGCTCTGCATTACCATTGCCCTACCATCTTAGAACATTAAAGCAGTATTTTGAAGATTCCTTATCCATATTACAGATGGAGGAGAAAAAATGTGGAGTCAGAAAAGGAAGAGGACTTGCCCGAGGTCTCAGGGCAGTCGAGTCAGTCCTAGAGACTCCATCTCTCTTCTTCCCACTGCCCACCCCTGTCTTCAAGCAAGAGTAGTCTGGTACACTTCCACATGTGCACAGTCACACACACTGTTCTGCCTTAGTGCAGCCAGCTTCAGAGCCAGTGAAGGATGGTGGAGCTGTGTACTTTATCTAACCTGACTAAGGCTCCTACCCTTGAGCCCAAGTCAGGCAGTTCAATTTACATGCAGAATTGGGACAACATCTAGTTACTTCCCTTAAATGCTTGTGACCATGAAGGCGATGTTTAGCTGAGATATAAAATAAATCTGTGAAATGCTCCTATAAGTAGCTCTGGTTAGAGTTTCATGAAATGTATGCCTTAATTTGAGAGAAATTATAATTATAGAATAGAACCTGCCCAACTGTGAACAGATATATGTTTCTCCATGTTGTAAGGCCTCGATAAACATCCAGGAGGAGTCCTGGTAGTGTAGTGGTTAAAGTACACAGCTAACTGCAGGAGAAAGATGTGTGTGTGTGTGTGTGTGTGTGTGTGTGTGTGTTTGGGAGGGGTGCTTACACCATTTTGATAAGAATAATTTTCCACTTTATTTTCAAATCAGTTACTGCTGGCATTTAGGAATGTTATTGATTCAGTAATTTTATTTTACACCTGATCATTTTACCTGTCTCTTATGTGTTCTAAATATTTTCAGGCAATTCACATGTTATACCTAGATAGAAAAATCAGAATAATTTTGTCTCCTCACTTATTTTCTTCTCATCACACTGACCAGAACTTCTAGAAAAATATTTAATAACAGAAGCAATAGCAGTCAACCTTGTCTTGTTCTTGATCTCAGTGGGAATTTCCCTAGTGGTTAGCATTAAGAATGACGTTGGCTGGTGCTTTGAGATAAATCATTTATCGAAAATACCAAATAACTGAAAATCAAGCCTTCACGTTAAAGTGTATCCACTCTTTTCAG